CTGTTTGCCCATTAATATGATTATTATCTTTAACCTTAACATTATTGTATATTCGTCGCATAATGATTTTTTCCCTCTCAACAAGGATAAACGATCTTGACGTATCTTTTTGCAGTATCTCTGAAGCCCCCACTAGCTTCTCTTTACAATCAGTTTTCGCAAACTGCACGAAAATTGAAATGTTAAAATATTTTTACGTAACGTAATCATAATATGTCGTTACTACCTATATTTCCTGGACTCTCATCCGCGATGTATTGTTTTAGCAAAATAATTACAACTCACTGTGTCTTAAAGTCTTAAATCATCACGGAATACAGAGAGGGCAAATTGAATTTAATAGAGCGGTCGTAATTTCGAGCGTAATTCCAAAATACCATCAAGACTTCGTCCAAGTTACTTATTCACCTTTCCGGGCGGGCGCGCGGTCGTGCAATGGCGCATGTAATTTCCCATAGAGATTAACATGCAAAACTATACTTACTAAGCGTCGCGTCGTCTAGATAACCAGATACATACATTAGAATGCTAATTATTTCGGGAGTGTGTCGGGGGCACGGTGATAAAAAGTAACAAACCTACCCGGCCACGCCGACCCTCCTTAGAACGTGATCCGTGATGACCTGCTTTGCTCGCTTGTAGTACTTCCGTTTTGGGTAGGATTTTCCAATTTCAAAATGCCTCCAATGAAATGTTCGCACTTTGTAATGTCGTCTCGGAAGGACGACATTACAAAGAAAGGTTCTCGCCTAACAGACTTGCTACTTTCATTAACGATTTATAATTTCATACTGTTATTTCGCATTTAGCATCGTTCGATACAAATAAGGGTTAATCAATGCTATATTTCGCATAAAAATATTGAATGTACTTTGATAAGCATTAATATGAATAATTTTACAATAAGGAAAAAATATTTCAAGAAATTAATTAAAAGAGATTTTTAACTTATTGAATTATGTAGAAATCTTATTGAATTAACTACATAATTGATACTAGTAACTGAATTATCAATTGTATAGTATCGATCACCTGGCAATATGTTGTAACCGCGATGCATTTTTGCTTTGCTATTTAGAAATTGCAAAATTGTAGTTTGGCGTACCGTAACTAAAGGTTAATAAACTACGTCCCTTATAATTATTACATTGCTCATTATCCAGCGAGCTAGTTTGTTTCGCATAACTGAAATTATCGCTGAAATTATTAGCAAATCTCGTATTTCGACGTACAATTATCGGTTCGGCAAATAGTGAACACGTGCGCATACATTTACCTATGGAATCATTCGCTGTAACCGGTGACTCCCAGAGTCGCTAAATTATGATATCCGCGCGACCACTCAGCGACTACATCCGCCGATACTAGAAAGTGTGCACAATAATCCAAAAGAGCCAAGTGACCTCCTTTGATAATGGACATGAGTTTCGCACAATCCGCCCGACACATGAGGTGACGAGAAGTAATCGAACAAGGCGACATCAAGATTTTCCTTGTAATTTTCAAAATTGAATAATTAGTAATTATTAATTGCAAAAATTTTAGACATTTTCTCCATATTGCATAAATATGGTATGCAGACAGACTTTTTAAAATTAAGACAGCAAAATGTATTAAACTATAGAAATTACTTCATTTCATATTTCATCTGAATATATATAAAGATTCGACTTTAAATATTTCTGAGGCAATACTGCTAATGTTTTCAGATCTGTGTAAATAATTTCTAAGTTTAACAATTGCAAAACTTAACGGCCCCCCCCCCCCGCGATGTTTAGCGAAGTAATGCGATTACAACTCTAAAAGGTCCATAAACCTTTTCGGAGTCGATTTAAAATTTCCTATAGAATTAAAATTCGCCTGGCAAGATAAAAAAGCTTTTCGGCTTGAGACCTCGATCCCTGATGCGCGGCCATAAAGTTGGGCGGTCCTCTTAAAACGTTCACTCTCGTTTACCGAATGGAACGGAGTGGATCGCGCAGTGTGTACGCAGATTAACGAACCATGCCCAGCTTCCTTCCGTCTCGCGGAGTCGCTTAAGAAGCTGTTTGCGTGTACGCAGACCGATAACTTTTTACGGAGTGGATGGCGGCGACGAGACAGAGATCGAGAGAGAGAGAGAAAGGAGGGAGGGGAGAAAGAGGGGGGAGAGAAAGAAGGAGAGAGAGTTCACAGGCATTAATTCAAATCAAACATAATTACCCATGTAAACGATCGAGGGACCGTAAATACGTCTACCAGCTGTAAATACACCGCGTACCTGCCAGCTTTCTTCCTTTACGGTCCATCTTTCACTGCTTTTCATCAGTCCCATTAAACAGTTATGTCTTAAAGTATTTTTATAAATGCGAAAGACGGTTTTAACCTGCTGCACGCGTCATTGAATTATATTTACTACTAATGTATATGCAATCTTATTAATTAAGATTATATTTTTATATTGTACATATTTCTCGAGAAATGTGAAAACATTTCTCAATAAAAAATATGTCAAAATCTCTCAAATCTTCATGGATAAAAATTTAAAAAAAAACATCAAAAATATGAATAAAAATAAACAAATTCATATATGATATAAAAAACAACACACGAAAAACAATACGTAAAAAACAATATAGAAAAACAAATAATATTTGCGATGGTAACTGTGCTAAGGTATCCATTAGGATTATATTAAGTATCATAAATAAAAACGGAATTTCTCAGACTTGTGACTATTTCTCCATACTCCGCGAATTTGTCACGTAGTTTCGAGATCGGCAAAACTTGTTTCAAGAAGTTTGCGATCGTGGATCCGGATCGTAAACAGCGCCTTCGACTTCGCGGTAAATCGGCACGGCACGATGAACGAGACAACTCCGTTACACAGCGTAACAAAGTTGTCTCGTTATTTTGCACCCGGACATTCGTTCGTTTGGGTTTTGCGATCGACCGGTCGCAACAATGAGAGAGAAGAAGCAGAACGGCGTGGCGCGGCACCGCTGGCAATTATCGCTCCGAGTGCAAACTCATTAGTGCGCTTTAAAGGTGACCGTTACGCCTTCGCGGAAGCACGGCGAGCGGCAAGAAGAAATGGAAACATATTTGCCGCGATAACGATGCCGCCTGCAAATCTCCTCTCGCGAACGACGAGGGGGACGACGCGGGACGCGGGACGCGGGGCGGACCGTTATTAATGCCAGAAATAAAATATACGACTTCTTTTATGTACCGTGCAGCGACTGTATTCGCGACACCGCGGCGCGCGTGTTGCCCGATTCATCGGGCGAATTAATTACATGATGTCACGATGACAACTAATTAATTCGTCTCGACCAAGATACATAGTTACCTCTCGCGCGCGCGGGACTTTTCGCTAATTAGCGAAGCCTGTTACGTGTATTTATTCCGCGTGATCGAGCTTGGTTATAGGAAATATTGCGTAGCGGCGTTTCCGCCACATCGCTTGATTGATTTTCTGGATGCACATTGCGAAAATCAAATAAACTTGAGAATTAAAAAAAAGTCTTATAATTTTTAGCACGAGAGAGAAAGAGAGAGAGAACATAATGTAAAACATATTATATAATAAATTACATTTGATTATATACAAGTAAGTTAATTATTATAATTTTTTTCCCTACCGAGATCTTGTCCTTATTATTGTTTGCCTTATGTAATTTTAGTTCTGATTCAATGTTTTAGTTTCTTTCTAAAAACAATAAAAATTTCAAATAAAAATATTAAAATTTATTCAACGATCGAGAAACATGTAATTGAATATCATGACTATATTGTTATTTTCCAAACATGTATCTGTGAAAATTGAAAGGTAGTCGAGAAAAACGCGAAACGATGCGCGTCGCGAGTTATCTCCGGAAATATGTGCGCGATTTAAAAACAAAAAGAAGAAAATACACGCAATCTCGTACGAGCCGGCTCGACGCGGTTGCTCCCGCAAATATTTGCGCGCCGGCGACAACGAGCATGCTAGCAACAATTTTACCGGGACTCCCTCGTGCTAATTCGCAGCCACGGTAGACGACATCACGAAATCGGACGACAGAAGAGCGCAAACGAGCGTCAACAGAGTCCACCTTCGTCGTTCTCGTCAATGTTATTTGTTAGGCATTATTTGCACGAACTGGCGCGAATGTCGGTGGCGTGCGTGCATTCTCAATTATTGCGAACCGCAACGCGTTCGCCAGCGCGGTACCCTATATTGGCGTATCGAGTTAACGCGCTCGGAGACGAAGGCGAAACTGCGAATCCTTCGAGAACTAAAGCATACGCGGGAGGACCAGTTGGACGATCGCCCGAACGAGACGGCCGTGTATCTGTGAGAACTGAAAATTCGCAAACCGTAAGGTAACTGTCATCAGACCACGAGACCGGTGAGTCCGCGTTTACGTTTGAAATTCACTCAAAGGCAAATTGGAATCCCGTTGGAATGTGTACAGAGAAGACGCAAAATCGCCGGAATCACTCAGATAGTCTTCTAATTTTCTCCGTCTTTCCCCCTCCACCTCTCTACGAACTGTTTCACCTACGCGAACGTTTTTCTCGTTTGATATCGCATTTTCCGACCAGGTCCTAGAAGCTTTCCCCGCGCTCAAATCTATACCCGCATCTCGATCTTCTTCCATACCTCTCGCGCGTTTCTATTACTCAGTAAATTGGTTCTCGTGCACGTCCCGTCCTACGCTCGCTGAAAAGCCCACGGCGGATAAGAAGCGGAAGACGGAAGTACGCGGCGGTGAGAGCCGCCCCGATGAGGATAGACGAGAGAAGAGAGGAGAGACGGGATCGCGGGGACGGGAGGGGCCAAAGAAGGCGGTCGCCTCTCTTTACTTTTCGCACGAATTCAATTTCCAGCGGTTTTTGCTTAATTGCGAATGCAGTCGGTAAAAGGAGAGAAGGTGGGCGCGGCGTTTGGCCGAGGCCGCTGCTGCTTCTCGGGAACGCTTGGAGTGCAAAATTTTGTTTACAAAAGGAATCACGTGCAATAACAGCGGAGCTGCTCGCTGTACTGCTCGCAATCACACAAATGTATGCGGTTATGTGTATATGTACGTATGCATCACTTATTATCGTAACAAACAAAATAAGCCGAATTGTCAAGATGTAACTGTTTCAAGTAAATTATTTTGTATTTTTTAATTTCGCGGATTAACCCATCTGCATGAAATATCGCTCGCACCGTTTTGAAGTATGATATATTTTTTTTCTCTCGAATAACATCTACAAACATCTGTAGGACATTTATTATCGTGCTCTCGCGACTCTTTCCCGGACGAATGTTTGCACGACGAGCACGTATGAGACTATTGGGCCCTCTTTTTTTTATCAATCGTACAAATATGCACGCGCAGGTGCCAGGAGGACACGTGTGTTTGCCTTGACACACTACTGGCCTGATTTGCAGCACAGTCATGCACGGCCCAGCCTCCACCAGCCGGGCATAGTCGGCCGATGATAAAAATTGAGACTAGGTCATGGTGGTCTAATTATCGTGTGGCATTACACGTGCGGCGAATAAACGAAAAGAGTGCTTACAAAATATTTATTACGCGTATTATGTTACGTTATTTAGCCATTCAGCTCGATATTTTCAGTTTTAACCCGAAATAATCTTCGATCGATTCATATGTATGCTTTTGTCCTGTATTTATAGAGATTTATTCGCGACGAGAGAGAATCTGATCGAGCATACTGTTGTATAATTATGCAAATGAAAACGGTGTATATTTACATATGGGGTAATCAATATTGATACGATGAATGATTGGAAAACTCTGCAGACGTTCGAATTAGCAGATCTCTCGTCAGGATCGAAATATCGGTCAAGTTTGTAAAGATAATTTGCAATTAATACAATGAAATTTCAAAATATATTACGGAGTAATATATCTATCTTGAAATGATAGATTGGACTGAGAATGTCGGAACACTCGGCTCGGGCTCCCTGGCGAGTAATTGCAGCGTTTCTCTGAAATTATGACGACGTGGCGCGTATAAAAAGATCGGTCCCGAATGGATATTATGCAATGGCGATGCTTCGCAGCGCATTTCAGTGAGATATATATACCTCTTTTTTATATCACACTTAATTCCGAAACACCAAAAACACCATATTAGGTATATGCTGCCTTGAAACTTAAAGAACTTTTCGATATCCAATAGTTTTTAATTGAAACGCATTCCTGATCGCATAGTGGGAGTGATTTTACAAATGAAAAAGACCATAATTAATGATGCGTAAAACATGTTGAAGGCCGAGCCTAATTTTATGTTGTTACATTTCGAGGTCTTGCTTCTTGTTTCGTGAAGGTTACATCCGTGTTTCTATTTTTTTTTCACGTTATTGATAGCGAGAAAAAATGCATTTATATATTGGACAAAAACAGATTCATACAAGTATTATCTCTCCAAAACGCCAGCGAGGCGTTTGCAACTCGGACTGACAATGAGATCCACTCAGAATATATTATTCCTTTTTCTCTCGTCTAAAAAGTGAATGAAATAAAATGATCGTATCCGATTGACACAAAGATTAAAGTTGAAATAACAAAATGTTACCTTTATAGCCACTATTTCTGCAAAAAGAAAGAAATCTAAAGACACCAACAGCGACGACAATGATGGTGATAACGATGACAGCGATAATGACAATGGTGATGGCGACGACGGCGGTGAGAAAGAAGACGACGACGACGAAGACAACGATGGAGACGGAGGCGATGATTGTTCAACAATGCTGACAATAAAGTGACGGGTGTAGTAATTCCAGTGAGAGCTGATTTTGCGAAAGCCTCTTGCGCGCAAAACTATTGGACCGCCCTCCCAATCTTTGTCGCAATATCTCCCTACTGCGAAATCCCATCCGTCTTCCCTCCTACGTCATTTGCATTCCGCCGCAAAATTAAATCTTTCCAAATTCGCATTTAAACCACCACGTGAAATCCGTACGGCGTTCAACCAAAAGGTCGAGAAATTTCGCATTCAATTACAAATAGTGGAAGAAGAATTTTATCCAAAGGAACTACTTATCACTTATTCTCAAGCATTTGCACGAAATAACATAAATTTCTACAATCTACATAAAATAATTTTACATATTTCTATTTCTAAAATAAAATTTTTTATAAAAGAAAATGTAATACAAAATTTTGCAATAAAAGAGATTTTCCAAGATGTGTAATTTTTATGTACTAATAAACATTTTAACGTTTAATTACTATTGTATAATAGTATTATTTCTTTATTCGGCGCTCAGTATTATCATTTAGAACATTAAGGAATCCTCGTTATCATTTATAGTTCTAAGGAATATATCGACAGCTCGCTTGGAACAATCCGTTTGTTTCCTCGTACAGGACTTCCCATTGGTTAAAAGGGAAATCTCCGTGCAACAAGCGGCGTGTGTTAAATGGATTTAGCCGAGTACCCAACCGCGCAACGTGACATTGATAATTTGCTACAAAGACCGAGAGTGGACGAGGAAATGTAAGAGACAATAGGGTCGGTTGGCACTGTATCCTTCCTGTTTCCGCAACGCTTTACACTCTCTAGTTATACGATCAAATCCTTTGATTCGTTATGATTCGAATAATTAATATTTATTACTGATATGACAATAAACAGTCATTATTATTAGCCGAGTCTAAATTATTGCAAAATTTAATTTAATTATATAACATTTGCAATGATTTTTTTATCATACAAAATTAATTTTAACGTTATTACATATATGATATCTACGTATTGTTTTAAGTTTGGATGTTTATGTCGTCGAATTTCAAAGGATTTATTTCTATAGAAAATAAATGTAAGGTACACGCACATAAATCTCTCTCAACATCTAGGATTGATCCATCTCCCGTCGGTGCTACCAGACGTAGATATTGGTGTTTAAACGAAGTTGTTTGGCCCTATCAGAGGTGGATCCTTCCTTTCTTCCTGGTACGGCAAATATTTTGTCATTGGTAGTACGCTGCCAACTTAGCACAGACCGATATCATTTATCCGTCGGTTCGGAATATTCCGTCTTCTTTTTACAGAAATTAAGTTTGAGTATGTTTTTCGACTCTCCTTAGATTCTTTCAGTTTCTATTGATACATCGCTGATGATTCGTCTAGATCGTCTAGATTCGTATCATTTGGAAAATTCAATAAGAATCAGGAATTATCTGATTTCATGAGCAAAATCTATTTTTACTCACGAGTATAACTTTAAGTGACGTAAATATGTAATCTCGATCTGTTATAGTGCAGAAGCTCTTTCTGAAATTCCAATAATTGTAAATAGAAATTTCTGTTACACAATTTTATGTTGGTAACCGGGTCTCGTTTACGCAAAGCGTGGCGAAACTGTCGCAGAGCTTGTACCACGAAAAATGTCGATAAAGCCTGTCGCACGGCGCTTACGCAATCCATGGTAAAATCCTTGTAAACCTGGCGCGGCCAAAATGTCCGTAAATCTTGCGCAACCGCGGCCGCGTACGATCAGCTCCGACACGCCGTCGACCATTTGCTATTCACTTGGTGAAATAAGTGTACATGCGTTATTGTTTTCGGCCCGCATGCGGGACTCGAGCTGGCGTGTATACGTTACTTCGAACGCCTATAATTCAATGCCGTTTGATTACAACATACGAATTTTGAAAACGTATTTCGAAGGGCAATAGCAATGCAAAGTTGTTTTGCGAAACAGTAATCAACCATGAAAAAACGATAAGCACGAATAAAATAATAAATATGTAAGCATCAATAAACAAAAATATTTTGATACAATATAAAACTCTTTGAACACATTTACAAATTCCTTTATGTTTCAAAATACGAGAAATATTATTTGCACAACTTCTAAAATTTCTAATCGCAAAAACGCTAGATGACCGGCTAGAGTTGATCGGCACGCCAGATGGAATCATCCATAGAGAATTACGAATCAACCGTAAGGTAAAGTAGCATCATCGCCGCGTTTGACGTATGGTTATGCTGTCCCTATTTGCGAAGCGTCACCATAAGCTGGAACATTGTCGGAATCGCGAAGAACAGTTGGGATTTGATGACCGGCCAACCGGCGCTGCCGCAATCTATGTGTGCTCTCGCTAATTGCGTAACGGTTGGCACAATCGGTGCTCCGGTACACGGACGGTACACATCGAGCACGTGCTCACCTGCGATGGCAGCTAACACTCGAGAAACTGTTGAAATTTTCCGCGCGTGCAACTATAGTCGACGACGCTCACGGGCTGTCGTTTAGGCTTTATTCCGAGAGGCGTGCTTTCGTAGCAACAAACTAACTTTCCCGAGATGATTAATAGCGCCGTCGTTTGTTCGCAACACTCGTCACAATCTAATTTGTAATTAACTCCATTGTAAAATGTGTTCGAGGTTGTTTGCTCGAGAGAGAAAGAGAAAGAGAGAATAATCGAGAACGTTCGCCGAAAATACATCCGGGGGGCGACACACCTCCTACACTCCTGAGCTTCCGAATGCGCTTTGGCAGCAGCCTCCGAAAGCTCTTGCGGCAATCCTTCTTAACCCGATCGCAAACACGAGGCATCCCGGCGCGGTTGGCGAAGCCAATAGCGATTCGGCACGGCGCCCTTGCCTTTTCGGTGGCATCCGAAAATATCCGCGGAAGCTCGCGCTAATACTGATCCAGGAATGGATGATCGCCATCGATAAGCAAACTTTTTGACGGGACGAGAGTATTGAAATTTTTTTTAAGAACGTCAAGGAACACCAGAAATCGATTAATGTCTCTCTGTTCGCTATTCCGAAGTCGTGAAAATCACCGAAGATCGCGTAATACACGAGCTAGACGAACTGCATCGCGTTGTAATTCAATTCACTGCACGTGTATAAATAAATTAAACGAAAGCTGGTATTGAGTGGAGTAATCGGAATTGTCGGGCAAATGGAACGATAATGATTTTCCAATGGAAGAACAATACTTAACAGTGTCTATTAATTTTAGTATCGGAAATTTATCGTCCGCGCGTTCTCGGATTCCACACGAATCGGTTCTTGTAACATCTATATTTGGAAATAAATGTTCTTAAATTAGTACAACGTTATTTGACATTTTTCCCACGAATAACTCGATTTCTATCGTTCCCATTCGTCTTATACCTCGCGTGGTCGCGGTGTCGACACGTGAAAACGGTTTGACAGGCCGTACCGCAGGTGTCGCGAGTCTTTATGCGGAATTACCGTGCACGGTATACCAGCGCGGCGCCAAGTGCATACACGCCATTAAACCACGTGCAATTACCGTGCATGTACACGCTCGCGCGCGCACGCGGGTTCTCTTCTCCGCGCAATCCCGATCTACGGCGTTATAGTAATTATTACGGAGTGTCTGCATTCCCGTGGCGTAGCGCACGCACGTTCGGCCATGCAAAATTGCCGGTCTGCAGCCGCAACGTGGTCATCCGCGCCGACGTACATTTTCATTACCGTCTAATTGAATTAATTTTCTGAGCGCGCGCGGAGAGCACTCGCTCGCGCGCCGTCTTCCCTTGGCGCGCCACCAATGTTCGGAAATACGATGACCCATGTCGTAAACACAAATATTTGACACGGGAATGGAATCAACGCCATGCATTTTGGGTCTATATACTCGACGCCAAGGATTATCCGGCGAGTAAAGTTCAAGAAAAATTGATTACTTATATTCTCGAGAATAAACTGCTAATTTTTCTTACGTATATTTTCATCATTACTATTGCATTTATATATGTTACAATTATGCCACAATTTTTTATTTATACATTAAGAAAAATCGATATATTTTTAACAATACTTAGAAATATAAATCCTAGGAGAATTTTTAATTAAGCTTCTAATTCTCTCATTGTCATCTGATTCAATTGGACGAGATAATTAAAGAAAATTGAAATATTTTTAATAATAATCAGAAATAATCCTTAAGAGGATTTTTAATTAAACCTACTCTGATTCATTGTCACCTGATTCATTATCATCCGATTCATTGTCACTTGATCAGCGAGACAATGTCTCATTAAATAATACGTTAATTACTGCTCGTATTCAAACACTTTTCGTTACGATAGTTTTCGTTCCCCCACAATCGCGTTACCACGAAAACACGGCTATCAAATCAAATCATGTTATCGATTGCACTACGGCGGTAAGGGCCGGAATTGTGCGGTTTTACTGTCACCGTCATAAAATACCACAGAACGTCGGCCATGAAACTGTGCCAACCGGCGGGGATTAGGTTAATCAACGAACTATTAAGGTACCTCGAACGCTCGTCAAGGGTTTTAATGAACCACTGATACAAATAAAGTTAACAACGTTCATAACATTTTCAGATATCCCAATTGAAAGTACATAAGTAATCCGGTAATACGGTATACGATGACGTCAACAATAATCTGTTTACGCCAACTTGGCCGAAGAAACCTGCTCTTCTATTATTCTGGTCTAAATAAAACTATAAGTGCGCGAACAATGGCTATGCGACGACTCTTATTTCCGGTCGAAAGTCGAAGTTACGCTAGCTCCAACCCGCAGAACATTATTGGAAATCTTTTCAGGAGATAGCACATGCACGTTGAAATGTAAGAGTAAATGCCGCACGATGTATTCTTGGATCAATCGGATGTTGAATATTAAAAGAAACTGAGCCAAATCCTGTTCCCTATCAATATATTGTAGAGATCTATTCGCGAATTGATTTATTTCTTATTTTCATAATACAATAAATAGCCAATCACTTTCTATCAATAACAGATATGAATATAGACAGCTTTTCACGTTAAACGTCTCGAATAATTTGATTCCTTTATGATTGCAAGAGAAATAAAATATTCTGACCTAATTACACCTTCGCGTATTAAAGAAAATAAATCGTTACTACCGTTTCCTAAAAAAAAAAAAAAACTTAGCATTTCGATAGAGAAATCCATCAGCAAATAAATATATCTATATTAGACAAAATATATATTTGTATCAAGTATTCAAACTTGCACGATTCGCTTATTAACGCCGAGTGAAAA